TGTGTGTGTGTTTTTGTATTTTGTTTACACACAAATCAAGGTTAAAAGCGCAAAGCGACATGCGTAAAAGGTGGAAGCAAATAAATATATCGCTCAATAAACGAGCAATGATCGAATAATTGTATGTATCTTTGTGTGTGTGTGTATGCGTGTGTGTGCGCTTGGGAGTGTGTACGTGCGTATGCTGTGGTCGCATTATCCGAAAGTACCAAAAATGAGCCATGGAACTCTATTAAAGCGTAAAGCGTGAACTAGTTGAGTGGAGTAGCAGCAACAGCATCGCCATCGCCATCGCCAGCGGCAGCGGCAACGGCAGAGGCAGAGGTGACGGCAGTGTTCGTGGCTGCCAAGTAAGCTGAGCCGTCGCAGAAACCAGAGCAAATACAAAACAGAACAGCAAAAATAACAGCAAAAACACCAACAACAAGAAAGTAAAGCTTACTCTCCGCGCAAGAGTCGAAGCTTTCATACTCTTTGCGCAGTGTAATTCCTCTTCGTCTTCTTCTTATTTTTTGGGAGAGCAAAGGTCGAAAATAAAACTCTAACTGAGACATACATAAGTTGACATCAATTGAAAGTGTCAGCTAAGGTTTAAGCGCATATTAAATTGGCGATCGGCGCTTAATCCGATTATATTAATATGATTAATTATATAAATTCAGGATTTGCATTGCCCGCTGCCAATCAACGGCTGCTATTGCTTCTTTTTTTTCGAATTTTGGCAACCCTTTTCAAGTGGTAATAAATGATCTTCAGACGTTCAGAGTCTGATAACAAATTATTACAAATATTTAAATTTTTAAATAAATTTCCCTCTTCGCTGAGATAATATCCCTCTCTTGTTTCCGGCAAAAGCTTAAGATAACGCAAACAAAGGTTTTCTATATCTATATATGCACAAGCGTGTGTGTGTGTGTGTGTGGAGCTAATTAGCTTACCGTGCAATGTAAGAGATATTGCCCTGTTTTAACCTTTGGATGACATCAGACTGATATTTACATAGCGCTGCTGAGTTACTACTGGTATTAACGTCTTATAGCTTTATCTATGGCAATTCATACATAACCGTAAATTCCTATCAACTCGGCTATCTTATTGATATAAGCAATCAGATAATTCTCCTCTGGCTTACAGTTCGCACTGCGCCGCCGCTGCAAAGTTGAACCGAAAGCAATTATGCCCAGCTGCAAGTGTACGTATGTACATATGTATGTATGTATTTAGGGGCGATCGGCTCCACACAGACCAAGGCAAAGTGTCTAGAGCATAACCGATGAGCCGGCCAGCCCAGAGCCCAAAGCGCTGCCTATGTTTTGGCCCGGTTGCAATGCGTGCAAAAGAGATGACGAACTTAATTTGCTGTAGCTATGGCAACAGTCGAGCCGCAGCAGCAGCACTCACATAAACACACACACACACACTGATGCACACCCTCTTACCCAGCAGCTGCCACCCTCTCGCCTGCTCTTTCAAGTGGTGCTGCTGTTGCTGTTGCTGCCTTTGCTTTTGCTGCTGGCTCATCAAAAAAGCCAAAAGTTGTTGAACGTGAAATTATTGTACGCGAACACGAGTAAATACGCCAGCACACACACACACACTCACTCGCTCACACATATGTATGTACATATGCACACATACTTGCATAAGAGCGAAGACCGTCAACTTCGACGTCGCTGCTGCTGCTGTTTTGCATGTGTAGCATCTCAAGATAAATAACAAAACAAAACAGCAACAACAACAAAAGCACAAAAAAGAACAGCAACAACAACAGTTAAAAAGCGCAAAGCGAAGGCATGAAATAGATGCATCAGATTTCGCATTCAAGTGAAATTTATGGCAATCATAAAGCTCATCTTGCTTTCGAGGTAAAAACTTACAAAAAAAAAGAAAAACGAAAAAAAAGAAAAAAGTAAATACGTAAAAAAATTGCTGCCAAAGTCTTGACTATGAAACGCCAAGTGTTGAAGCAGGCTGTTAGGAGAGGGTGGGTGGGCAGAGAGAGCGAAAGCCCGCGAGAGTGAGAGAGATGGAGATGTAGAGCGAGCGAGGGGATAGACGGCACAAACAGCAGACGCAAGTACTTATCGCTGTCGGCTACAAAGCTCCATTATGCTCATAGATCGTTGTTGTTGTTGTTGCGGCTGTTGTTGTTGCTGTTGTTGTTATAGCTGTAGCAGTTGTTCCTGTTGTTGTTGTTGTTGTTGTTGTTGTTAATTTTTAAGCAGACAACATAGCGCTCAAGACCTCAGAGCGAAACGAAGTGTACTACGTAGAGCTCAAGTGCTATCAAACCTTAGTCATCTACACAAATATGTTGAGCGAGCGAAAGAGAGAGGAAGAGCGTTAAAGAGAGACAGCGAGCGAGCGAGAGAGAGAGAGAGAGAGAGACAGATAAATAGGGGACAGTAAGAGAGGTCGAGAATGAAACACACACACACAAACACAGACAGATTACAGTTTCGCGTACACCTGGTGCAAACAGAAATATTAGCTGGAAATAAGTATGAGTAAATATGTGTCCACTAGAGGTAGTTAGATGGAAAAGCAAAAGCCAAGCCCCAAAGACTATGGGAAAATGTGTGTTAGATAAGAAAGTTTGCGTAGTGGACCGAAAGAGCGAGGGTGCGGGGGGAAGACAGAGAGCATGCAGTTGGTTTAAGAGAAAGCCAAGTTAAGCGCATAATTGAACTCTCATATAACAAAATTTGTCTACAATTTCCGCCACATTATGGAAAGTTTTCCCATTATATTTTCCACCGAAAATTTAGCTGCAAATATTTTAGGCAAGTTCTGCTCAATTTAGCCAACAAACTGTATAAATCAAAATTGATTTGTTTCAGCTACATAAAAGTAATGCAAACTTTTGTTCAGTTAGAGACATTTTTTAATATTGTGTCTAAAAAGAATGTTGCTCCACAATTTCCAAAAGTTCATAGAATTATGCCTTGTTTCATAAATCACAAAAAGGTTTGTTTATACATAAATTAAAAGTTTTCAATTCAGCAGAGTTCGCTTTATGTATTATTTTTCAATATATTGTCCATATATCATTTAATAAATATAGAACTCAAGCACAGAGAACACTGTTAAGAATTCGGGTAGTAAGTAAAATAAATCAAATTTGATTCTATATAAATGAAATAAAACGTTTCAGCTATTAAAGCTTGATTGAGTTCAACAGAGTTTGAATTAATTATTCCAATTTATTTTGGCAATTTATACTGT